AAATTAAAACAGAAACACTATTGCTTTTTTTTCATCTTGTTTTTTTGTGGATCACAAATGGACTACAACTGCGGTTTGTTGTGCAACTCAGCAGGACGCAAGTGGTGACTATCATCTTTTCATCTTTGCAATAAAGCAATAAACACAGGATGAGCGATGCATATGCTTTACAGATGTGTTCTGCATGTATTTTATATTATTTTATATGTCACACAGTAGCATTCGAATTGTAAAATTTTAAGGATCAGCCGTATTCACAAAGGATTTTAGGGCTAAAAGTAGCTCCTAACTGGCGAATTTAGGAGAAACTCCTAAACATAATGGGCGTGTCAGTCTTAAATTTAGGACTCCTAATTTTATTCACTAAGAGCAATTCACAAAGTATTTTAGGCCTAAAAGTAGCACCTAAGTCTAGGAGAGCTTAAAAGTCCTCGAGAGGACTCCTAACTCAGTAAGACCTATTCACAAAGAATCTGAAAATGGCTGCGAGACGAAATGTTTTGGAGACAATGGAAGACTGTGAATTGATCAAGAGATATAGGCTAAATCGTGAGGGTATCAAACTTGTTGTGGAATTAGTGCGGGATGCAATAACAGGAATAACCCGATTAGTCCGGAAATAAAATGTTTGGCAACACTACGATATTTAGCAACAGGGAAAATGCAACTTTGCAATGCCGACGATTTAGGAATATCGCAACCATCAGTCAGCTGTGCCATAAACCAAACCATCAACGCGCTCTCTAGACCACATATCATCCAAGTCCAACAGTTTATCCGGTTTCCTTTGGACAATCAACAACTACACAGGATCAAAGCCAACTTCATGGCAATGCAGGTATGCCCGGTGTGGTCGGTGCTATTGACGGGACGCACATAAAAATAATTGCCCCATCAAAAGATGAGGACGTGTTCGTCAATAGAAAGAGAGTACATTCCATCAACACGCAGATTGTTTTCATTCATCATGATAGGGGGACTTGAACGGCGGTATGGGCTGTTATTGAAAGTGTTTAAGTGCTGGAAATATGCTCATTGGATAATAGTTTGCAGGGTGCTTTTAATTGCCTCCTTGATTTAATGCAATTTACGTATTTTTATTGTTTGCTCTCTCTCTTTAACGTGCATATACAACGTCATTATCGTGGTCTGCACAAACTTGTCATCATGTGTGTATTCTGCTAACTGCACTGTCCATAACTATTTGATAGGAATACATTTCTAGCCTAGGCTATTTCCTTGTTTTTCGAGGCTAGAAATGTATTCCTATCAAATAGTTATGGACAGTGCAGTTAGCAGAATACACACATGATGACAAGTTTGTGCAGNCATCTGACGCCAGACAACTCTAACAGAGACAGGTTACGGTCTGCCATTCATATATTAATGAAGTTCCTTTTGATTTAGGCGGAGCAAACAAAGACTTTTTCATAACATAAACAAAGTTGGCAGGGAGGCTAAGAAATGTCCCATCTCTGGCAGGTGTTTTACAAAGTTAAATTCAGACACAAAAGCAATCAATTACTGACTATAATCTGCTTTAGAAAACAAAAAACCCTACGAATTGTGACTGCCACCCTTCTCAACCAAAGAGATAAAACTTGAGCAACTAAATTAGAGTTTGGGTTCAAGTTAGTCAAACATTTGATGTAAAAAGGAGATGTCAAACTGGTTGCCCTGCATTTACTTTCATAATGTCTGATCAGTGGCGAGCCGTCAGTGCCCTCTATTTGACCAAAAATAACTTGGTTTAATTGTATTTAAAATAACATTTGCAAAGAAATAAATCCTTCGAATCTGCCTATTCAGTTTCTGTTGGAATGTGAAGGGTTAAATGAAAGAAGCTCGTCTCTGCGAGTTAAAATGACAGTACAATTGACCAATCATATCTTCCCTCTAAATGGGTGGGTGCTGGGTGGGTGTATCGCGGACTTTATGACAAGTTCCGCCCGCTGTGAAACTTTTCTTGTTTCCATAGCAACAACAACTTCCTGTCAACAGCATTAACTCGCCTTCAAAATAAAAGCATGCCAAATTACACTTAAGATATACTGCAACGAAAGTAACAAACACAATGCAATATCCTTTTCAATTTCAAAGAACACAATATGGTTATTTACAGGTGTGTTTTGTGTGGTAGAGGGTCGCTTTCATTGATGCGTTTTGCACCCCGGGCCGTTGTTTTGATATTCCGCTGAAGTATATGCTGTGACGTAATAACTCGAGGGAATGGGTGGGGGTCAGAGGGCCTAGGTATAAAAGTCACGGCTCCCCACTGAAGCATACAATGGTTCACTATATATTTTCCAGTAATGCTAGATTTATGAATGGTGCAGTGAAGATGTCTACTTCTGAGAGGGAAAACTCAAACCTTTAACCCAGCCACCCACAGATGCATCTCTGAGCTCCACTTTAGACTTTGGTGATTGATGAGCAGCACTGGAATTATGTGGATTACTGAAAAAGGGAACAGGTGGTGACATGAGTCAGTAACATACCTGGGTCTTACTGTAAACTTGCATAAAACACTGTCGAATGCATGACATTAAAACAAAGAACCAAGCTAGATATATAAACCGTCTACCGTTTTCATAATTTCATAATGTAAACATGGTTAAAGCCACCAACATCGAACATCAAATCAAACCGTTTGTCACAGTTTTTTGTCTTTACACACTTCAACACATTTGATTTGATTTATCAACAAGTGGAAGAACCAACCTTTTGAAAACAGCACAATAATTTATAAGCGGTTCCAGGTCGTGTCCAGCACATATTTTCACTAATGTACACACTGTAGGCCTATATTCAAACACTGTAACTCAAGCACCAGTTCCCGATGTAAAGTCAAGACAACTTGCATCAACACCTGAGTCCCAGAGACACTGTATGAGTCAACAATTAAATGTCACACAGAGAGAACAAAAGAAATCTCGTGTTGTGGGAGCATACGAGTCGCGACAATGTTTACTTGTGCGGTCTCAAGCTGTGACTCTTTCTCCATAGCGGCAGAAGCAAAAAGGTGAGAAAATGTGTGCGGGGTATGTGTCAGAGTATAGTGGTGGTGAGAGTATGCACAAGCCTGTGTGGGTAAAGGGGAAAACTAAAAACAAGACAAACATAAAGCGAGACATAGTCGTGCATTGAGGTGAGAGGTAGCACACAAACGGAAACTAAGACCCCTCTTACAAGAAAGACAACATAAGCAGGTCTACAACAAGATGAGCATCTAAACCACAAGGACACAGTTTCTTTACATCAAATTATTTTTGTTTCACCCAATTCAGAACAAGGTTTGTACGTGACTGCAGAAGAATCCTGATTGTGCAACTGCAGCTTTTTCCAAACCTGTCATAACTTGTAATAGGAAACACCAAATGATAAGGTACGGCAGAACGTTAGGTGCAAAGATACTGTATAAACACAGTGAGAGATAATAATCTGCCTCAGTTTTTACAGCCAATAAGAGCTGTGTTCACAAAACCAGAGGATATGACATTTTTACTTCAAAGCCACATTGAGGCCTAGCATCAGGTTTGATCACACACGCAGGTGTTGTTGACCAACGTTTATTCATAAAAATGTTATTCTTTTTTTTTTTTCAGCTGTTACAAAATATACTGTTTTCTGTAACATGTAAGAGTGGAAACTTTAACCTTCAGTAGGCGCCTTTTCAGGTGTTGGTGGGTGGGGGAAAAAGGTTTTGCTTCAACTTCCTTTTGATAAATCTTTTCATACTAGTCATATAATGTTTAAAAAGTTTAAGACATCTCCTGTATCTCTTGTTCACATTTATGGTTTTCACGTTGGAACACATAAGTCTATGGTCTAGGCCTCTGTACAATTACAAAGAAAAAATGGTTATGTTAAATGTAACATAGATAATCCCGTATTGTGCATCACTTAATGTATTCTTTTTGATAGGGGGCTTTGACAAACAGTGAGTTTATCCACACGCTTTTTTGAGAAAAAGTTTTGTTGCGATGCAAACTATTTATTGGAGATTGCTTTGAGGGAAATAAGGCTAGGTTAGAAACCATATTTTCCAACACAAAATAACTGTAAAATCATCAATAACCTCAAAAAGATTCAGTAAGCCTAAAGTATCCTATCTTTATCTTCAAAGAGCTGTGTCAACCTTTTACGTGGAAAAAATAAACACTTGCGCCGTCTCTCGTCCATGCAAAACACGCACCTTCATCTGATTTCTGAGAACTGAGATGACTCAATTGACTTTTTGTTTGACTGACTTCCCTTGAGAACCTGCATCTTCAAGCGAGACACAGTGCCTTTAAAAAAAACACATTCTTTCTCATACAAAAATATGTTTTTCACAGCCTTTTTCCAGAGCTTATGTTGGCCAATGTTTGAAAACTTGAGCTAGATATTTCATAGTTGACATTACTGAATCAGTTTGGGGACTTTAAAAACGTTTTATATATGTATTTATCAACAGCTCAACAACCACAGGATCGTTGAATATTTCGCTTCTTCTTTTTTAATGTCTAATGTGGTCTGATTTAGCCTCTTCAGGTTCTTCTGGGTAAAACTGGTCCACCTGCAGCTGCCAGCTGTGTTGATGTGTTTTTTTTATTTCAGTAACAACACTGTGACTCATCAGCTATTATGTTTTCTCAGTTAAAGGACAATGACAAACATGCCCTAAAAAAAACGTTATTTGTTTTAGAGGAAATTGAAGGGTACCTTATGTAAAAAAAATTGACAATCCAAGAACTGTCTCCAAGTGTTTTTGCCTCTTAAATTATGTAATAGGTGTTTATGTAAACGTTTTAAAATGCTTGCCTATCATCTGTCTATGCCCACTGATTAGACCCCAAATATTGATGGCATTAAATATGTGATGCTCGAGGTACAAACCTGAGCATGCTTTTAATGTACATTAATTATTTTAGCAATCCAACCTGAATAAACAATTCAGCCATCACTGCTGGTTATGCCATATACTACCTGTGTTAATGCTGTGTTGAACTGTTGAACAGACCAGAGATCAGTGTTAAGAAGGGGGAAAAGCAGGCAGCAGCCACCAGAGGTCTCTGCAGCTCAGACCTGCAGCATCTGAGGCAGGATGTGCAGGTCTAATGAACATGAAGCAGGTTGCCACAGGGTGACATGTGGAATTCAAAAAGGTTAAAGGCTGTGGGCACAGCTGACTATTTAAATAGATGTGGGCTAACTCAACACGTGACCCCACCCAACCACAACGTTTATACTAGAAACAGGACACACACACACACACACACACACACACACACACACACACACACACACACACACACACACACACACAGCTTTATCTCTGATTCCAGCTCCACACACACACACACACACACACACACACACACACACACACACACACACACACACACACACACACACACACACACACACACACACACACACACACACACACACACACACACACACACACACACACACACACACACACACACACACACACACACACACACACACACACACACACACACGCACGCACACGCCATAAGCACAAACAAGGAATAGTTGTATTTTATTAAGCTTTCTATTTTATTCAATTTCATTTATTTATAAGGGTGATTGTAACGTTTTATAAGTTGTGGGATGACAGTTATTCATTCATATTCGTGGATGCCTCATTTAAAAGTTGTGCAACAGATCAGATCTGGTTAATTGCAGGATTACTGAGCAGTCCGATGTATGTGTTGCTTCAAAAAGTCCTCCTCAAACCCCAAAGCCCCAATCAAATACTGTTTAAATGCCTTTATTCCGCCTCTAAGCCCTGATACGTGAAAGCCCCCTCGGTTACAGTGGAACCACTCCCCCCCCACCCCAACCTCCATTGGGCGTGCGTCAGGAGCGCAGGTGTGATTGTATCCATTCCCAACAGACTGTCTCCCAAAGTGGTTCGTGGTCGGAATTAGAACGGGATTAAGTTCAGGAAGTTCAATACGAAGTGAATTTACCTGTGCGCCCAGGTGCGTAGTAGAGAGACAGAGAGAGAGAGACAGAGAGGAAGGGAGGGCACGAATAGCAACAACCGGGAAAAGTTACGGATGCAAACTTCCCATTGACACTCAGTGAGAAACCGGAGCGACTCATCAACTGTTAATCAGCGAATACAAGAGGAAACACCAACAACCATGAAGAAATACTCGTATCCAGGTAAGGATGATGCTCTAACATTTATGTGGTGCGTTTTCTTTATACGATATCAGCCTATTTAAAGGCTAGTGTTGGTGTGTGAGTGCATGCGGCTGTCAGAGGGTTAAAGACACAGAGGGACACAACTACGATTGACGTAATACAAGTAAATGTTTAACAGCATGTTTTTTTGTTTTTTTTATCACTGGTGCTTCACATTATGTGAACATTTTAAATCACTGTTTGGGCAAAGAGAAGGCCCTCACATGGATTTGTGGGTGTGGTTTGTAAAACATGTATTCTCCAAAGGCCAGAAGTCTTATTCTAGCCCTAAACACATGACATCATGACACAAAGGTGAGCTCATTCTTTAAAAGACATTTTTTGATAAGCCCTCCCTGAGTAACATAACAGATCAGCTGGGGACACTACATTTGACTAAAACATGCACACAGGTTGTGCAGGATTTATTTATTGGTGGATGAAAGAAAAGAGGTAACCATGGCATACTGTTAATCTGTCTGATTGACAGTTTCACTGTGCAGTTCATTCACTCATCCCCACTAACAACCGAGGAATGACTTGATTTATACATCTGCAACAAATCTACACAAGCCTGTTTATGAACATTATTCTGGGACTGCCTGGATGTGATTGCGGTTATTGAGAAATTGTGTTTTATAGGGTGTGAGGTTATCTTAACTGGGGCTTTTAATAGCTTTTGCAGCTTTTCAAATATGCCTTGAAGATTAGGACTGGGCAGGTAAATTATTTAGCTGTCAAAGACCGTTTAGCAGAGAAATGTCCACCACTAAAATATGCATCCTGACTACTTGTAACATTCCTCTATCTCTTCCATCTCTTATCTTCAAACTCTTGATTTCTCCCACTCATTCTCTCCAGTGGGGCTGCAACTAGTGATCATTTTCTTTTTTGATAATCTGCTAATTGTTTTCTAGATTAATCTATTATTTGTATGGTCTATAAATGTAAGTAAATAGTAATAAATGTCCATTCCAGCTTCTTAAAGTCCAAGGTGTCTTGTTTTGTCAGTTGAAAAACCCAACATATTCAGATTAATATGTTATAGAACACAAAAGGCAGGAAATCCCTATATTTCAGAGGATCAAAATAGATATTGCATAAATAATAACTATAACGATTATTGGATTATGAAGTAGTTGGTAATTTCATCCTTACAGTTATTCTATCAGTCGATTAATCGCTGCAGCCTTACTCCTCAGCACTGTTTACTATCACTTCCATCCTCTTCTGAGCCTCCTTTGCCCTCTCTTTCTCCCCCCTATAAGCTTCAGCTCAGTCCAGTTTACACAACACTATCCCCCGGAATGCCGGCTTTCCCGGCTCGTCTTCCCGAGTCTTTGTGTGATGGAGCGTCCAACGGTTTTCCATCGGAGCCAAGTGCATGTTGGGTCATGCCGCCTCTCCTCCACCTCCTCTGTGTGTGTGTGTTCTCCCCCTGCCGTGCGACGTGTGTGGAGCTGTCACATTCTTTGTCAGAGCTCTACTCGGGAAATTGTCTAATAACAAAGTGTGTTTGTAGGCTGATTTGTGTGTGTGTGTGTGTGTGTGTGTGTGTGTGTGTGTGTGTGTGTGTGTGTGTGTGTGTGTGTGTGTGTGTGTGTGTGTTGTGAAAGGCCCTCCTCTCTAACATGTAGGGGTGTTTAGACAAGCATCAGAGATGTGGATGGTTGACTGAGGGAGGAAGGTCGGCCTGTATGTCAGTGTGTGTGTGTGTGTGTGTGTGTGTGTGTGTGTGTGTGTGTGTGTGTGTGTGTGTGTGTGTGTGTGTGTGTGTGGTACTCAAATACCCCCACAAACTCGAGCAGAAAGATTGAGTATCTGGCCTAGTGAAAAAAGGTCAGTTTTAGACCTTATGCATAGAAATGTGAGTCATCATGTCATCTTTTGAGGGGGGGTTGTATACATGTGTCTGTGTTCACTCATGCAGTCGCTGCCAGTGGAGCCAATCCCTGCCTTGCACACCACTCCTTCACGTCGTCTGGATCAATGAGTAACCTTTTTGAATAACAGCCCACTCAAACACACACTCGGAGTCATTATTTTTCCAAGTACACTCCTCCCGGTATGTGCTTTTATGTCCTACTCAAAAACACACACATACACACCTGATTCCACTATTTTACCTGTGTGACAAACGCCTCACTCCACGCTGCATTACGGTTTTTAGTGTGTTTATACTGGAGAGACAGCGAGGCTTTGATTTAGAGCCTACAGCTATTATTGGATGGTGACTTGAAAGTCAAGCTATAAACTCTGTTGAGACATATTTGCCCTGTCATCTAGCAGAGCATGCAGAAGATGGTCTAACCATCAATTTGACTTCCTAGAAGCCTGTGAATAATGGACTAATAGGGTATTGGAGCACGTGGACAAGAACATACAGTATACTCTGGGTGGTATTATCTGAAATAGTGGTGTTATGGAGCTACAGGTGCGACACAACTTTCAAAACCGGACACATTCGCTGACTGGTTGCTACCCTAAGACTCGAATGAATGATAATGAAAACACCAATATGAAGATTTACCTACCTGTAATTTTAATAATCACCATTTGCTAAACCCAGCTGTCGCTTAGCAAAGACACAGTACATTTATCAAGCTAAAGATTGTATCACATTGTCCATAGGGCTGAACCAATGGCAATGCTCTGTATGTAAAGAAATCAGATATTTTTTTAGCTCACCTCTGTCTTCCTTGTATAAGTCAAGTATAGCTTTGCAGCTAAAGTAACATGTTCATTTCTAACATCATTATTCTCATGACTCTACTTGCTCTTGTGCTGCAAACATTTTTCACTTGTGGCATCTGTTAAGTCTGAAAGTGTAGGCTAAAATTATCTAAAGTTGTTTTATTTACATATAAAAAAAAACAACACTTGGGGCAATGGGCAAGAAATAGAACACTGTGTTACATCTGACTACGGCAGAAAGTGTACTTTCAACTCTAGAAATAAATAAGACTTAAGTGCATTACAAGAACAATGCTGCTCCTGTATCTTCTAGTCCTCTACATGGATAAGTGTTGGTGCTTTGGCTGGGAAATGCAAATTCAGCATCAGTCTTTTAGCACAATATCTTGTATTTAGCCATCCAGTTTTACATGGTTCACACATTTTTACATTTCAAATGGTAGTTTAATAAGCCAGCTAACTACAGTTGTTCAGATTCGTTTTGTAACTGTCTGTTAGTATTGGTTACTTAGTGTTACTGTAAGTATTGGTTGCCAAGTGGTACTGTAAGTATTGGTTGCTAAGCAGCTGTGATTGACAGACCATCTATTTCTGAGTAAGGGGCGGTTAAATTAAGACTTCACTCTCCCCGCTCTTTCCTTTTTTTTTGTACAGTTTATTAGAAAAACATATCAAATGACAGGTGTTGCAATGCTCACAAACAGAAGTAGGCGTGATTCAGTGTTGACTGCCATTAGTCTAACAGTTATTTCTTTAGAGATAGATGTTTGTGCACAGAGCTCAAATGCATGTAACTCATTAATAACTTCTGCTTTTGCCACACTATACTCCACATACAGTGTTATTGATACACTCAGGTATGTGGACTTCCCCTGATTGCAGAGTCCTTTGTCTGCTGTGCGTGGTCCTCCCCTCTCAGCCGTGTGGAGCCGGCTCTGAAGTGTCCACTCCGCTCCTCTGTGTTTATTATCTGCAGCCAAGAATGCAGCCTGTGATGCTGCTGCTGGGGGGGGAGGGGGGTGTCAACTGATACAACAGACTGCCTGTACTGTAGGCCCGGGGCCAGGAGAGAGCCCGTAAAAAGATAATGGCAGGCTCACATATGTGGTTCTGATATGTATTGGAACATGTGTGGTACAGTAGGGTGCACGGACAGGCTACACTTTATTTAAAGCAGCTGTGTTAATTAGAAACTCTTAACTTGA